TGACTTGGTGGTGTCCCTGAAAAGGACGTCAAGGCTCTCTTTTCTACCTCCTCCATGTACAGGTTGGCAACAATAGGAGAAACTGGAGACCCCATAGCACACCCATGTTTCTGCCTATAATATTGCTCCCCATAGTGAAGTAGGTTGACTGCAGGCACAGTTTCTAGAGTTGACACAGTTGTTCTGTGGAAAGCGTGGTCCTGCTGCTCAGAGTGGTGTCTGATTTTAATTTTAAACTGACCACCTCTACTGCATCATCAACAGGAATGCACGTAAAGAGTGATGTGACATCAAAAGAGACCATTGTTTCATCAGTCTCCATGATGACATCCCTCACCTTGTCCACAAAGTCCATGGTGTTCTGTATGTGATGGTTTTGGTTGTCAGCAGCAAAACTGGTTGATCCACTCTGAGAAGGTACTATTTATAAGACTGAGCTGAATACAGCACCTCAGACTGAGGAAGTCTTTCGGATGAAAGACAAAACATTTCTACTTTTTTGTTGTTGTTTTGTTTTTGAATGTCCAGAGGACCAGATTTAACTTTTTTAGATTTTTCTACCTGGATTATTGAGCATGCATCAGGATCTTTTAGGTTTAGTTTTGTTTTTATTCATTATTGCAGGCTGAGTTAAATAAAATTTAGTTAATTGCACTTATTTGCCTTTTCTTATAATGTGTTGAGTAAATATATTCATGTTCTTTAACACAGAATTCAGTCTTTGGTTCTTGGTGGAAAGATTCCTGTCAAATGTTCAGTTGTGTAGCAGCTGTTCCAAAACTGATGCTACACAACTTTAAAGTGGTTGAAAATGCTTCTGGGCTCATACGCTGGTTGATAGAAATCTAGTGAAAGCTTAAAAACACAACACTAATGTACAAAATTAAATATTTTTATGCCAGATTGAGGAAATACATCTCTTTTTTTTTTTTTGTAAAAAGGGAGGGTGTAATCGAGTTAACCTGTATACTGTAACCTTTATAAACCTGTACTTTTCATGTTCACTAAAAAAACCTGTTGTTGAGACATTAGAGATAAATCTCTTTACTCTTCAGTTCTGTGCGGTATTTGCCTTAATATCTTTATTTATTGATAAACTGATTTATTTGACTGACATTTCATGTTTTTTTTTCTCTTTACAAAACAAACAAATATCAACCACTGGCCACAACAAACAAACAAACAAAAACACCAAACTAACAATCAATGAATCATGTGGCAGTATTGTGCCAGGGGAATTTTGAGTTTTGAATTCAGAGAATTTAAATATTTTTCTCCTTGCTTGTAACTTGGTATTTACTTTATTTTTGAATGTTGATCATGCATCAGGATATTTACTTTGTGTTTTAAACAAAATATAAAATAGTGCATTTATTACATAAAGCACATTTTAAGATAAAAACAAAACTTCTGAGAGCAACATATGGTATTATTTATGTGTCATTGTGAGTACTTTTCATGTTTTTGTTATCACTTTTTTGTTGTTGTTGTTGCTGTTGCTTCTGCTGCTTTCGGGAAAGATCATTATTATTATTATTTTTTAATTTACTTCTTACATTTTGTACACTTTTTGTTTTATCTGTTCCATTAGTTTATTTAATTCCGTTTTATATGGCACGCTAAATTTACCAAAATGTTTTTTTTTTGTTGGATATTCATGGATTCTAGTTAAACAAACAAACAAACAAACAAAAAAATTATCCAAATTATATATATTTTTTTAATCAAATGTTTTATGGTCATTTCGCTTACTTGGTCGGCTTTTCTTTTCTGTCACTTTTGTCCTTTATGTCTCTCCGTAGTTCTTCCTCCTTCTTGTTAGAGGCTAAAGATGGCTGGAGCTCCCCCATGCCCCCGCCGGTTCTTCTGTCACAGATGCTCAGCAGAGATTAGTCCTCGGCTTCCCGTAAGTAATCAAGTATTTTTTTAAAGAGGAAACTTGAGCTGAGAAAAACACAACAGATTTTGTTTTTACTTTTTTATATTTTATTGCAAATGCGAGACAATCGTTAGCATGCTAGCAGTGTTAGCTGTCAGTCCCTGTCGTTTGTCACGTCGCCCGGTTATCTTATTATCTTAGTCAGGATCTATCAGCATTTAAACAAGCTGCGCAGTTACTAAATTTAGAGCTACATCATACATTACATTACGTAATTTACAACAAAGTTTGTCGTAGTGTTTATACTATTCTGTGGCTGTGGACTGTGCTAGCTATCACTTGCAGTCACAGCAGCTGGTTCACAGCATGATTTTCGAATGAAATAAATTATTGTTATGGTGAACACCGCCTTCTCTTAACTTTTATTTTTGCACTTGTATAGAAGAAAACTCCATTCTGACCTTGTGTTAATGTTTATTCATTTAGTTTAAGACAGCACTTTTGTGAACGACGTGTGATCTGTCCAGTAGTTTGCAAGAGCTACTGCAGCTATACATCATTTATTGTAGATGAGAATAAAACATTACATTAAACAAGGTTTATTGTGTCCGTGCAAATATATGGCAAACTTTTAGGATACGTCCACACTGTTGACAATGTGCTCCAAATTCAATTTTTTTCAATACGGTCTGAACGTGACAAGTCCGATGTATTTTGTTTTTTTTTATTTATCTATTTCAAATTAGATCCAGGTCTTTTTCATATGTGGTACAAAACACATGTCAAATACATGTCAGTCTGATGCTTTTCAAAGCGACTGCGGTCTGAATGGTCATCACATTTCATCTGACTTACATCAGTGAGGTGGGTGGGGTGAGCAGATCAATCCAAGTATTAATAATAATGATACCAAGTACTGTCACACTAGTTATCTGTACAATACTAACCATCTATTTCATTTTTCTCCCTGACGACAAACTCTGGCACCCCATAGGAGATGTGCATCCCACACTTTTAAAAGCCCTAAGGTTGATAAATGTTTTCCAACTTTTGCAGCTTCTGATCCACTGGATTATAATGGAAAGACTGGAAAGCTATATATTGCTGAAGTATACATGCATCACTGATGAACCAATGCAAAGGCATCATGACAACATAAACATCCTTAACTATCATTATACTTTTTTTTTTTCATTAATTACATCTGGTTTTAGTCTCCCACAACACTTACGGCAAACTATGCCTAATAATTACTTTTTAGTTTGCTTTGACAACTTACTCTTTCACAACCTACAGTGTGGTCTGACCCTAACTGTTGTAATCAATAGGTTGTTGATTGACAGGTTGCTATAAGCTATTTGACATCTGCTCTAATCTACAGAGATGTATGGGGTCATTAAGGTTGCTTCTGTGGAAACCTGTCTCTCCCCTTAACGTTTTCTTTAAAATGTGGTGCTCACTTTAAGACTTTGCTAGATTTACTCCATGTACTCAGCCAAATGTTTGCATTTTAAGTTTCTAAGTTCTATTGTTATCGCCACAAGAAATATCCAAAATGCAACCAATGCAACTGAACTGTTCTCATTTAATTTTAAAGTATGGTACTTCCATACATCAGACACACTGCACATCACATGATTTTACAGCAGCAATGTTACAACACAACCAATATAAAACCATAGATTCGATATTATATAAAACCATAGATCAGTAACAGAGATCGGGAGTGGAGAGTGATCGTCTTTGATACTGATCATTGAAAAAAGCTTTAATCAGGACTCTGATCTGCTTCTTGATCAGCTCAGAACATCTCCACTTACAGTATTTAAAACACTTTTTAATTAAAAAGTTTAAAGTTTTTTTTTTATTGTTAAGTGTCTTTGAAGAAATCATCATAACCTCACAACTTTACTTATCACTAGGATTACTTTGTAACTTGTTTGTAGGTAACCTTTTTTGTTAACTTGAACATATAGACATCTAAATCTCTCTACATGCCTTCATCATGGTATGCGTATGAGACCTACAAGGCACAATGAAACGGCATCTAAGAAGAATCGAATCGTTTAGAAAAATTGTTTTCTGGGTTGAAAGAGAAAAAAAAAAAAAAAGTACAATCTCTTCAGAGACATGCTTGCCTCCTGTTCCAGTATCATGTACTATAAAATACAAGTAACCTAACGTTTATATTATAAACTTAAATATACGTAACATTGTTTAAATTTTATTTAACTTAAACTAAGTTAATCCACATATTTTGAGTTGCCCATTAAGGGGAGGCTTTTGCTCTGCAGTAAAATAGCAGCAAGAAACCATTTCCAACAGACTGAGCACTGTCTGCTAACACAACATGTTCTTTGTTGGGAAACTGTATTCTCAAAAAAGGGATGAAAATACTGTGGATCCCATCAGATCGGTATCTGGACAGTTTGGATGACAGCTGAACACGGCATCGTTTGTGGTCTTCTTTGTGACATTCCTAAAATGTTTTTCTGGGGGCACTGTGCAGTTTTGCTGTCACTGAGCTGTTAAGTTAAGGGAATGCTGCTGTTACCATGTGAGGACTACTGGTCTGCAGGGATTTTAGACATAATGACAAAAAAACAACATTCTTTTGAAAGGCAGGAGTCATTTAAATATGTGGCTCTTCTATTTAGCTAAAACAATTTTTTGATTAATTTCTATAAACTTAAAATATATTTTCCATATTTGTTTTTGCTGTCTTCATGTGTAATAGTTTTAATCAGCAGCCAGCCTGCATTTTACACTCATTACAGTGACTCACTTATATAATCTGGCTTCAGTAATCTCACTGCTTGGCCTCTCCTATTATTAGAACGAGTTAAGCAGAAGGGTAATTCTAACATGTGCCCAAAGTTCAAAGTTTAATCTTCTGCTTCAGTTTGTGCTTCTGTTTGTTTGCAGGACTATATGTGCCCCAGATGTGAATCAGGGTTCATCGAAGAGCTGCTGGAAGAAAGGAGGTGAGTTCAAAGTGCAAACTGAATTTAAAGGTATTGTTGCTGTGACTGTAATGATGCATTTATTGCTATCATTGTTCTTGTCTAATTGTTTTTTTTAGTTCAGATACTTGTCCAGAAGATGACATGAAGAATGACATGTAGTTGATGTTTTTGTCCCAGATTTCTGGGAGTTGGCTTTAAACGTTTACATTTAGTTTGAATCAAGTGTTAGGTTGCAATGAGGGTCTGTTTAAACTGCGATCACGTGCACTGCATTTTACATGTAGATCAGAAAATGAAAGGTGTAGCTAGGCCTGTCGCAATAATCAATAAATCAATTAATCGCATGATGAATGAAAATTATCGACCTCATTTTCTTTTATCGGCTTTATTGTTTCTTTGTGTGTCTCTCTTTCTGCTGAAGACATTGGATGAAAAAAGTCTCAACTCCGGTGTTCTTCACTGACACCTCTCTTTCTCTTTTCTCTTTAAAATCCATTTTTACCGTCGGAAATTGCGTTTTTGGATCATTAAAAGTAGCTAAGCTGAGAAGCTAAGCTACGAGCTAAGCTAACAGGCTGACCTTAGGGGGGAAAAAACTTTGTTTGACAGTAATTACTACTTATTGTCAAATTTCGAACAATATTATCGTTTATTGCAGTAATTTCTGAGACAATTAATCGCCCAGCAAAATTTGTTATCGTGACAGGCCTTTGTGTAGCTTTAAGAGGTGAATTAACAGCAAAATATTCTGATCCAAATATTTGAAACCAGGAAAGCTTTAAATGTTACAAAACTCGTTTGTAACTTTATCAACTATTTGTCTTTTATTTAGTGCTGGCAATGGGTCCATGCCCACCATCTCCAGTGGGCCCCAGAACCAACAACCGTTTGAGGTTTCTAAACTTGATTTGTACACAAACTTTTCTTCTGCATGTCCATGGCTCTGTTATGTACACTGTTGTGAAGCTGTCATGGCCTTTTTTATTTCTGCTTTTGTAGCAGATTGTAATGCATTTTCTAGTGTAGTCTCTGGCGTGTTTTGGAATAAGTACAACTTTAAGCTTTGTATTTAACTTTTCTCACTAAAAAGGAAATGCTCTATGTAAGATCCCTCTGGAAAATAAATCTGAATTAATAATGAGCAAGGCTTTTTAATATTCTAAAAGTATTATATTGGCTTTTAGTAATTTTTTTATGTAGATAAACAAAAATTGCATATTTTTTCTCTTCATTTTCTTGTCTTTTGTTGTTGTTGTTGTTTGTCTACCAGAATGTGGACCCGCATTTATTTACGTACCGCTCGGGCTATGGTCAGTTTTCCCTCAGAGTTCTTGATGACAGCTTTGACTTTGGGACTGGACTTGGAACAGGCGACAATCGGGATGCTGAAAATCGGTGGGAAAGGGACACTGCATCCCGGCAAAGATACAGCGCCAGGCAGCCCAGAAGTCGACATGGTTCCAGGCGGCAAGCGGGAAGGCATGATGGAGTTCCCACTTTAGAGGGGTACAACATCAGTTATTTGACTAGATTTAAAAAAGAATCTTCCCGACTCTTTTTCCATCACTGACACAAGTTCCTTGTGTGTTCTCATGTTGTAGAATCATTCAGCAGCTTGTGAATGGAATAATTGTACCAACTGCAATGCCAAATATTGGTGTTGGTTCATGGTAAGTCTCTTCTATCGAGCTTAAACAACAGAAGTTCTTCTTTTGTTCTTTTATCTCAATAAGACTTGCCTGGTTAAATAAAGCTAATAATATTTTATTCTAATGCCCTCATCATTTCAAAGGGGTGCTCTTCATTCAAACCCAATGGACTATGCCTGGGGTGCTAATGGACTTGATGCTATTATAACTCAGGTAATCTCTAAAACAGGACATTAAAAAAATAAAGTCAATAAAATTAAACATGCTTTGATGTTATTCAAGCAATTTAAACACTGATTTATTTTCTAACACTTTCTTTCCCCACGACTGCGTTTAGTTATTAAACCAGTTTGAAAACACAGGACCCCCACCTGCTGATAGGGATAAAATAAAAAACCTCCCTACAGTACAAATTACAGATGAACATGTTGGTAAGTAAAAAAAAAAAAAAAAAAGATCACTGTTTTATTGCTGACATTTTTTTCTTCTATCTTAAGTGTAAAATTCATGTCACATCACTTTCTTTATATCAGCGCAATGAAAGCAACAAAAATTCACCTAAAGATTTTTGTTTTGCAGACGTGAAAGGCAATTAAAAAATAAGTATTATTGAGAAGAAGCTGATTAATGTAAACCAATTCAAGAACCATGAACTTTGGAATGCATCATAACATTTAACAATAATTAAGTGGCAATGAACAAATTAATAAATTCAAGTATTAAAGACAAAACAGTAGCTGCCAATCAATTTGACATGAAAGGTTGGTAAAAATTTGGTGCACACTTGACAAAAGGCAGCTTCACATAAATCTCAAAGAAAAAGAAATGCCTTGAAACATTATTTGTAAATTTAGTTAACTGAAAGAGTTATCCTCTATTGCTTTGCATCCTAGGCCCATCACAATAACAAATTTTACTTAATCATTGCGATAAATGATAATATTGTTTGAAATATGACAATAATTAGTAATTATAATATTAATAATAATTAGTAGTTGTAAAATTAAAAAGAAATGGTTAATTTGTTTTGCACGTAGTACCTTTTTTTGACCACAGGATGGCAGTATAAGACTGTTTGAACCGAAGGATGGATAGTGAGGGAGCGAGCAGCGTGTCTCTTTAAGAATAATAGCAGTGCCATGGGCAGTCTCTCTTTGGTTCCCAAAATGGTGGACGCTCGGTGTGGTTTGAGATCGTTAGCATAGCATTTTTTTCACACAAAGCTTTTAATTAAAAAAAAATCAGTAAACAAATTCTCAGCTTCTTGTTGCAGAGAAAAACTTTTTTACACAAAGGCATCGGTTTCAATCATGAATTTTGGAGCTTCGACAAGATGGAGGTTTTTTTTTACCGCAGTCAGCCTGTTAGCTTAGCTCGTAGCTTAACTTCTCAGCTTATCTGCTTTTAACAATCCGAAAACATGATTTTTGGATGGTTAAAGCAGATTTTAAAGAGAGAGAGAGAGGTCAGTGAAGAGCACAGGAGTTGAGCTTTTTGTCATCCAATGTCTTCAGTAGAAAGAGACGTGAAGAAGCGATAAAGCTGATACGATTAATTGATTTATTGTTTATTGCGACAGACCTATTGCATCCAAATTTATTGCTAATTCTATTGGCTTGGTCAGCTGTTTTCTTCAGGTATCTGCTGAGTTCTCCTTTATTATAGTAATGTTTTAAATCTTTCAAATCTTAAAGAATTCACTGTTGTGTTGATAATACGTAGTTGTCAATAATGGTAATTTGTCATAATGCTTTATTTGTTGTTGGTTTAAAATAAAAAAAAAAGAGCTAAAACTACTTGACCAGTCGTATGTAGGTGCTGTGATTGACCGTTGTTTTGTAACTCACCCTTTCAGCCTCGGCGCTGGAATGCCCAGTGTGTAAAGAAGATTACAGTGTTGGTGAAAACGTGAGGCAGCTCCCGTGCAATCACATGTTTCACAATGATTGCATAGTCCCCTGGCTGGAACAGGTAGGTAGACACACCGTCACATTCAGCTATTGTTTTTTTATTCTTCTTTTATTGTGCTTACTGTAAATATTGATTAGTAGTTTGAAACCAGGAGTGATGGGTAAACATCAGCAATGACACTAAAATAACCTTTTGTTTATTGTCTCCAGCATGACACTTGCCCAGTATGCAGGAAAAGCTTGAGTGGACAGAACACAGCAACAAACCCTCCAGAACTATCAGGGATGAACTTTACCTCCTCTTCGTCGTCATCTTCCTCCTCAACCCCTCAGTCCTCAGGTTCAAATAGCAATGAGAACTCTACAGAGCACTCGTAGAAAGGGCAGCGGTCCCCATCACCTCGTGAGCTGTTTGTAGCTCCTAGGCTGCTGCGCTTCAGAGCAGCGACCTTCAGTCCGTCCCTGTGGTAGGGCGGAGGCCTGAGTGTCTCACCAGGATCACTCAGGCCCAGTTCAGGGGGTAAGCGATACATGTGTTCGTGTATTTCTGCCCATCGTGTCCCCCCCACCACCTTCATAAGGACTGTGAACAATGGAAGGGAGGAAGCTTCTGGCAGGAAGGATGCGGAAAGGCGTGGAAACATCAAAAAGCTCAACTTGATTAAAGCACTTCATACAAGAATAGAAAATAAAATAATCCAAAGGTAGAAGGTTATGATCATCAAGACAATTGCCAATTTTTAAATTGAATTTAATTTTAACCTGAGACTTGAATGACTTAAGATGACATACTTTTGTCAAAAGCAAATTAATTGCATATTTTTAACATTCAGAATTTGTCTGTCAGTGGCTAAGTGTGCTAGCGTGTATGGCTAATGTGCTCACCAAAATTTATAAATGAGTCTGTCTTCAAATAAATTTTGATTTATATATTAATTATTTTTACCTAATATTTTCTGTCTGATTTAAGATTACCTGACATGGATCAGGTACCATTGTTTTCACTTAAAATGATTAATTAAATAGCAGTATATTGTTTGAATAAACCATATAATCACTCCTGGATTACCGTATTTTTCCGACTAAGGCGCATTAAGCAAAACAAAACAGAAACTTTATTCAACTCATTCACAATAACTCAACATTTGACATGACTGTCAACAAGGAAGAGGGCCGGCAATGGAGGAGGCGGCGTGCCAAAAAGACCATCTCAGCACCAACATAACTGGTTTGTTCCACTTTGGAGTAAGCTGTTGGGGGAAGAATCAGTTTTGTGTTGTGTTTCCTTCACTGATGAAGCCTTCTGGATCGAAGATGAAATGTTTCAGCAAAAAAAAGAAACTGTCCAGATGACCCGACTGAAAAATGTTGAACTCTCAACATTGTTCAGTTGTACCACATAAAATCTGTTCGAGGTCGGTAAGCACAACCAGAATTAATACATAAGGTGCACGGGATTATAAGGCTCACTGTTGATTTTTGAGAAAAGTAAAGGATTTTAAGTGTGCCTTATAGTCTGAAAAATATGGTACACATCTAAGGATTTCTGTGAATTATATCTTCAAGCCAAAACCGAGGCATTCATGTATTCTGATTTTTACCAGTTGAATTAAAAAAACAATTTTCATGATCATTATAAACCAGAAAACAAATTGTGAAGCAAATGATATATAAAAGGTTTGTATGCTACACTCGGTTTCGTTGCTTCATTCTCCCGTTTGCTCATCTTTTAAATGCTAAATCTTACAACTAATCAAGAATTGTTTTATTGTAAAAAGTCTTACAAACTTGTTTTATTTCACCATGTATTTAAAAAAAAAATGTTTTCAGTCTGCGATATTTTCATTGCAAGTGGATATTTGATTTAGAACATGTTTTGTTTCCTTCATGCCTTGCACTCTTGGAACAATCAGGGAACAATAACCTTCAGCAAACACTTGGACTTGTTTTCAACACATAATGAGGCTTTGAGATAATTTTGTACTTTCAAAGCAATGCCAGGTCCAAAGGCCTGTGAACAGTAAACATTGTATGTAACCTTTAACTGCTGGCTGCACTTGCCTGATAAATATCAATAAGCTGAGTACAATTCTCTTTCTTCTATTGTTTAGCCATAAGTGTGTATTTCCTCTGTATTGTACCTCTCGTCTCCTGGGGTTTTAAGTTCGAAGGCTTTAATCTGAAGGGATTGTTGGACACAAAACATTGATGGATACATACAAATTAATGCTTTTAATTTATGATGACTTTACAATATGAAATTGTTCATTCATATTGAATTATTTTTCCTCAGAATAACTGATTTTGTGCCATTAAACTATGCACCATAAAATAAAAGTATGAGAGACTCATTAAAACTTCAGTTCTTACAGGTTCAGGGATACAATGCAGACAGATCTAATTACCTGCTGCGATATTTGTTGACGAGTGGATTTTATAGTTGGTCTGCAATCCAAATAAAATGTTTCCATACTAAGTATACTGAGACAATTTCAAATAAATTTGCTAAAAGGTTTCAATTAAACCAATTATGACTTCCATCTTGTCATGGATTGCTTTGTTAAAATGTATTTAGCATGTTTTTAACTTTTTCTTCTGATAAATCTGTTCTAATAACCAGGATTGCATTAAGGTGCCAAGCATTAAACATATCTTCACATTGCAGTCTCAAAACTTTGACATGGATTAATTTAACTTTTTTTTTAATGCTTGGGTGGTGTGGAGGACAAAAAAAGTAAATTTCAGTTTTGTCTCAAATTTCTCCAAATTGTGTCTTGTTTTAAATAAACCCTTAGTTTTCCTGGATTTATGTTTATCAAACAAGAGTCTTGTGCTAACACAAATATTTCTCTTGAAATTCTGGCACTGACAAACTTCAGCCTGGGTGAAAAGTATACTTGTTTCAACTTGGACTGTCTAAAATTTTCATTTATTGAACATGAACAACATATGAAATATTTGCACAATCACTAAGATTACCACCTTGTTTTTAGAGTGAGAATATAAGATTTTTGTAGCGTCAAAATTATGTTTATGTGGCGCTCGTTTGTTGTGTAAAAAAACCGCAACTTCCTCAGACGCAAGCCCCGCCCACAGATCATACGTCATGTGTACGTGCTGTGAAGGGCGTGTGCGTATAAGAGGAAAGACGGCCGGTTGGTTCGCTGTCTTCGTGTAGCACGGCGTGTTTCTGTGGTGAAAGGTTGTAAAGGATAGAAGATAAATTTAAACTAAAGCTTAGGTTGTGCTACTTCAGTAAAACAAGCAGTTATGAAGTTACTGTGGGCTTTAACGGCTCTGCTGTTGAGCTATTTTCGAGCCGATGCGACCACAGGTAAGAACGCCTGTCAGCCATGTTGGATGAAAATGTTGACTTTGCTCGGAGGACGAGTGTTTTGCTTTATCATACAGCGGCTTTCAACGTTTTAAGTATTTCAAGAGCGGCGACAAAAAGCACAACCTTTTCTTGTGTGTGTTTGCTACTAGGAAGAATGACATTGTGTAATGTCATTGAGGCCACAGGCTATTGCTAGCGAAACATTTTGTGCTTCACAAATCAATCTTCGTTCTAAGCGCCTTGTGACGCGCGTGAACAGAATTAGTCACGAGATAGATACCGGTAATTTTATTTCTAAGCGCTTTTCGGTGTCGTTTGACATTATTTCAACGTGAGACTTGTGTCTTATTAAGCATTATTTGGTTCTATGTCGCTCTGTTGAGCTTTATGTTAATTTACGCGTACGTACGTTACGTTACAAGCTCATTCTTGTAGCACCGGTTAAAATTCACTCGGAATTTGCGTAACGTATAAACGTATTTAACTGGATCTGCATCGTTTTAGTTGTCGGAAGATCCCAGTTAATTGACCCCCCGGCAGCCTTTTGGAGTACAGTTTAAACGCTGTGACTTGAAACAGAGATTTGTTGCTAATGTTGCGTAACACAGGCTACTCACATTTTGTCCCATACTGATTGCTGGTGGTATTATTGTGGAGAAGAGGTCTCGTTTTCGGGTGAACATTTATTTAGCTTTGAATAAATTTAAATTAAATGGAGCCTTTTTAATGTTTGTTTTTTAAGTATATGTACAGTACCAATTAATGGTTTGCTGTTTTGCACTAACAATCCTCTTCATTTGTTCATCGGCCCATCGACCAACTACAAAATGACCCTTAAACTCTTCAAATCTTGGTCACGTGAGGGTGAAATTCCATTGCGCACGTGCCTTCTGGTCTGAAACGTTCAAAACTATTAGTTTTTTTGTGCGTGTGTTTAATATTATGGAGGCTATTTCTGCAGATTACATCTTGAGCTTGGCTGTTGTAATTAAATCACATTTTTTATAGGTCAATTCCTTACCCATTCCGGCTGCTTTTGTAACTTCTGCTTATTTTATGTCAATCTTTAAATTTTGTCTTTGGCTTCCTTCTGGCCTATTGGCATATTAACATGCAGAAAGTTGGTACAAATGGTGAACTAATTTTATCCTAAGGTGATGACGAGGGGCAAATTGAGTATAAATTTAGATTTCCCTACAGGTTTAACTTCTACTCACGAACCTCAGAGGTCAACAATAAAGCTAGTTGGTTTAATGAATCATAACTTGAGCATTTTTCCTAAACAAAATGTGCCTGTGAAAATGGTAAAAGGGGTAAATGCCATACCACTTTATTTATAGAGCACTTAAAGCAGTGACAAGGCCAACCAAAGTGCTGTACAGACAAAACAGACAACACGCAAAGCAATATACAAAATGTGGTAAATCAGAATATAGACATAAAAACGATGCATTTAAATGTGAAAGTGGGAACCCCCACCTACCCACCCAATGCACTGAGAGTTAAGCTGCTTAACATTCTCTTTAATTATTTTGTGTGATAAAAGCCTGCCCTTAAAGCAAGAGCATTTGATGCGAATGGAAGACAAAATCTGTGTTGGTGAATCACAGCTGAATGATTACAAATACAGTTCTTTATTGTTTCCATATTAGGAAAACACTGATTGATTGACCTTTTTTCAGCCCACTTAATCATATAACATTAGTGTGATAGTTCTCGTAGTGTTTCAATGATACAATTTTTTTTCCATTCTCTATTTTAGGAGGTTAGGGTTTTTTATTTATTTATTTATTTTTTTTGGGTCTTGTGTAAATTCAGAGTCAGAGTCAGAGTTTCTTTATTGTCATTCGCACCTCATGTGGTACATGTGGTGGAGTGAAATTATGTACACGGGGTCCCAGTTACATCCAACAATAATGTATAAGAAAAAACAGTAATAACATCTAAGATATGAACTAAGAAAAACATCAACTAAATATACACTAAGCACTCATTTTGTTTTTTCAAATTGTAATTCAAAAAAATTGTAAAATTCAAATTTTTTCAAATTTTTTCAAATTGTAAGTACCGGTACACATTAAAGTCTCAAATGTGACCTGAGACATTAAACCTTTTTGAAATACAATGTGTTGAATCATTTAAACCTTTTTCTATGTATTCATATTTCTAATTTGTTTGTCTTTAACCAGCAGATTAACTAAATGCAGAAAGCTGACTTTATGCAAATCTCTTGACATGCCTGTTTTGCAAGTATTTTAAACTGTAGGGTCATCTTTCTAACTTGGTCCTCTACAGCTGTATTGTTTTTGTTGCCACTGACCTCTGTTTAAATGTCAAATTCTGACTTTAGGACACTTGATCTTTGAAAGAACTTCAGGCACACGTCTTATTCACTTATAGAGCAGAAGGTTATAGGTAGTAAATTAAATGTCAAAAGACTTTGTAAAAGACCTGGGCTAAATTTGAAGGACCGTAAAACATTACTATGAAGGTGACCTTAAGTGAGGAAAGTTGCATGATAAGCAGAGATTAAAGTTTTTATTGACAACTATAGTAGTACCCCCCCCCCCCCTTCTTTTTTTTTTCCTTTTTTTTTCTGCTGTTCAGGTATGTCAATGCTAGTGATGTGTGCAAAACTTGGAACATTAAGGTGGAATTAACAGATTTGTGAAAGTTCTCAGTTAGCAGAAGCTAACTGCTGCTGGACAACATGTTGTTGTGCTCTGGACTGGCCAAACAATCCTGCATTGTCAAGAAACGTTGGTTACGTACTGTAACCCCAGATTCTATGAGTATAGGCGTAGCCCTTTACGGCTGTCACTTTGGTGGGTTTCATCCCGTCATGCGAAGCATTACACTGAAAAATTTAGTCCACGCCCACCTGCTGTGTGGGCCCCACGTTGCGTTAAGAGCGGGTAATCGGCTCCCAAATAGCTTTTTCTTCAGCCACTTAGGAGCCAGTGAGGCCCAACGCTTAAAGGGCTACGCCTATACTCATAGAATCTGGGGTTACAATACGTAACCAACGTTCTATTTCATATAGGCTTCGCCCTTTTCGGCTGTCGCTTAGTGGGTTAAGGGCGAAGCAGATGTGGTCCTCGCCTCACTGGGTCCATTCGAACACTGTATGAAGCGGAAGCTTGCCCAAAAAACGTCTTGTCACTCAACTCCCCATGTACGTAATTACGCATTGTGTAATTATGTGTACCATGCACAGACACATGTTGTGTATCTATGCGTTCTGAATGCATGAACGCCCCGGAAACTTTAGACTGGGATGAAAGATGTTGAGAAGGGGGGGCCATGAAACAAGTGATTCATGGCTGAACAGTATGAACAGATTAATAACAAATTAACTGATTATAATCGAATGAACTAATTGGTAACAATAGTCATGAACTGATCAATGACCATAGAACCAAATAACAGTTACAGCTTGTGACTGATAACATCTCACACTTTAATGCATGCAGACAGATGTGAGTTAAACTGAGTTCCATGAAACGACAATATTCATTCTGTAAAACACTAAGGACAGAATGTGTCATTGAACGAGCCGTCGCATCACGTAGATAAAAGTGAATAAATGAGCAGGGTGTTGACCACATGGCCGCAGTGCAAATATCCTGCATTGTCATACCATTATGCAAATCAGTCGAAGATGCGATACCTCTGGTCGAGTGCGCCCTGAGGTTGACAGGAGGCTCTAAATCTGATGCTCTGTAGGCTTCAGAAATGGCCTCACACAACCAGTGTGACAGGCGCTGGGTGGGTAACGGGCGACCTGCAGATGCATCTCTATAATGCACAAACAACTGTTAAGTTTGACGCGTTGCAGCTGTGTGTGCTATGCAACACGTCAACGCCCGCACCGGGCAGAGAAGATGGAAAGATGCTTCTTCTTCTGATTGTTGGAGGGGGGAGAAGTGGAAAAACCCCTCCAACGATATCACTTAATTTAAAAAGCTCGTGATGTTTTAGGCATAAAAACTGGATTCGGTCTTAGATCAGCTGAGCTGCCGTCAGTCTGAGTTCCAAGACACGATGACGGAGCGACAGAGAGGGCAGATAATCTCTCACCCTCTCAGCGTATGTTAAAGTCAGCAGCAGGGCTGTTTTAAGAGACGAGCTTAATTCTGTCTCAAAAATATTGTGACAGGAAGAGATGGCCGCAGTGACCGTTTTACTCGAGCTGAACGCCAGATCTCTGTCCATCAGCTGCTGCAGAAAGGACAGCACACCACCTAGTGGACATGAAATGGCCTCTACACTTTTCTCTGTACAGCAGCGCTGAAAAACTGACCACTTGATGTGAACAGCGCTGTGGTGGTTGCAGCACCTGAATCCTGAATCGTATGCACTACATCTTGAGAAAGATCCTTCCCCTCAAAAAAGATCCGCACAGCCGCCAGACCAAAGGTGCTGGTCTATTCTGATTAACTCCTGATCGCTCCTCCGCCTGGAGGAGAGCGTCCTCCCTCTACAGCAGGTTCCACGAGCGCCCCGATAACAAGTGTCATAGGACTGGGGACCATGATGCGTTCACGCACTTGGGACAAAAGAGCTGTCAGTCCCTCCTCCTGAGCTCGGTTCAGAAAACCGTGATATCAGAGGGAGTGAGGGAGGTGAAGAAGCATTACAACCACAGGCTGTGAGCAAACGCGTCCACCCTTAGCGGTGGATCGTCCCGTGGGCTCCATGATAATTATAGTTGACATTGAGCGTTCTCTCCTGTTGCAACAGGTCCACAGCCGCTCGCAGGATTTCTGCCGCTTCTGAGCCATCAGCTCTGGATGGAAGGTCCCCGTGCCGCAAAAGACCGTCTTTGGACATCACATCCGTCCCCTGTTCAGAACACAGGAGATGTACCCTACTCCGATGGAGAGCAGATTGGGTGTGCCCCACACAGCATCTGTCTCACATTGTGGCACATGGGTTGAGTGCATGCATCTCTTGCCAGTTATGTATGCAACAGTCACTTGCTGTCTGTGTGAATC